CCAAAATTTTCTAAAAACAATTTTTTAAATAAATTACTTCATTTGTGAATAAGTCTTGAAAGATTAATTACAATCCGACAATTATTTGACTTTTGCAAGAATTTCCAAAACTATGTTTTAATGACAAAATAGGCGCTAAAATTCCCATTTCTAAAACTGGCCCAATCACCGATACAAGAACAAGATTTTTTAACCAAAATTTCAAACGTGCTAGAAAGGATTAATATATATATATATATATATATATATATATATATATATATATATATATATATATATATTTTACAGGATTGCACTTTTAAGCAATTTAGGCTGTTAGCTGACATTAGGCCTGCAATCACTTGTGTGAGCTTATCTAGTGCACATGCGTCAAGGCTCAGCTTTCCTATTAATAGATCATTCTTTGTATTATATTCTTGGCCAACTCACAACAATCGCAAGTGCGTATCGTTGTATTAGCGACAAAAATATCTTGAAATACTAAAGAGTAAATTTATTCAATAAAATCTCCGTTGGCTTCAACCACGGCCTCGAGACGACTTCGGAACTTCTTGCATGTCTTCTGGATGGTCTCCTTGTTGGTGAATGCTGTCATAATCCTTGCCTTCAGTTCATCTTTGGTGTTACAGGGAGTTTTGCTACTATCTCTCCTAACTGCGCCCCACACATAATAATCAAATGTGGCTGCAGTCTGAGGAGTTAGGTAGCCAGATTTAAGGGCTGATGTGGTAGCAGAAATAGTCTGACGGCCATGTCAGGGTTCTCCTGCTTGTGTAGCATGGTGCTGAGTCCATTTTCCAGATATAGGATTTTCTAGCAGCTACCCTCTTGATCTAGGTCAGCACTACCTCCTCAAGGCACGATGTAGGCCACCGTGTTGGGTCTGAGTCCCTCGCAATCAAATTCGGGAGTTCATTTCTTATCAGAATATTCAGGTCGAGTTTCTGAGCTGCCATACTAATCACCATCAGACTAATCAAGTTCTTTCCGAATCCTCTACACTGTTCTCAGATTGATATCCAAATACGCGGAAATGTTCATATTTGGGCTTCTGGTGCGGATACCAAGCAGTAAATCATGCCGTTTCAAAATTTTTGACCGAGTGAATTGCATCATAGTGCTCTGATAGACTGTGCCCAACTGACCCTACTGTATTGTGCAGTCGACAACAATTATAAACAAACAACACGCATGCGCAAAATTACAACTATAAAATGGTTACAATTTACCCATCACACCCTGTAAAAAAGCAAAATAGAATGAGAAAAAGGGTCTTGGAGTGAGTGGAACTGAGGAAAAAAGGCAAAACTTTCTAAGAGCTATAAAGGATGCACGTTGTGATGTAATGTTTATCGGCTTGGAATGAGAACCCGCAGAGCCGAGTTCGAATTCCAGTTGAGTTCATTACATTCACTTACGCGCAAATACCCTTGGTTGGTAATCAGTCTACCACAGAAAGGGACAGCAGCTTACTGCGGGAAAATCTTCTCCCTTGTCAGACACGAATCGAATCAGACATGATCACTCATGCGTGTACCACGTATTGTATTTGGCCTGGGCAAAGGACAAAATTTTGTGGAGAGATATTATCGCCCATGCCCTGGAGGGACTCGGCTTATAGAAAAAGTAAAATAATTTGTTATCTCGCCTTGGATGTCAGTCCTTCTGGAAGGGCTTCTTTGGATTCTCAACGGGAGAAAGCAAAATGAATGCATTAGCTTTGCCGGTAACAGATATGGCAATTCGCAGATAATAAAGAAAAGATGTTGTGGGCTACGATCGCTTCCGCCCAGAATGGTCATTGTATTAAAAATAAAATAATTGTACAGCGCCAAGCAATCAAAGAAGCGGTTCGATACTCACGTTGTAAGAGAGACTAATTTTGCTTTTAAAGATCTTCAAAATAAACTTGATTTAAAAAAAAATGATGAATTTTGTCTCGTCGTAAACAAAAATAAAAGCTTTCATCGAATATTTGCAAGTCGACATGTGGTAATGTTCTCGTAAATTTCCGTTTTTTTACACGACAGAAAGAACAATGAGAAAACCGAAGAAAATTTATTTGGCTCTCAGTACTTTAAGTTCACTAAGGATAGGTCTATAGAAACACGGTTACGGCAAATACACGAAGCAAATTCCTTATTCTGTGATCACAGATCGACTAATGCGCGAATACCTGCATAAAGTTTGGGGGGGGTCACAGGAGGATACGTCTTTCTGCTATGCTTACGTCCTTTCTAATATTTAAAAGTAGATGACTACAAGTGTCATTAAAACATCTGAGACATCGACTGAAAAGCTAAAATATTTAATTCTATCTGATCATTTATTTTTTTTTAATTTTTATCAGACTGTTGTTTTATTAGTAGTAATTTTCGCAAAAGTTAGCACTGATAACGCCATCTTTGGTGTTCACATCAAATGCGGATACCAGGATGAACGTTAAAACTAAATGCGTGTTTTCAATTTCAGAAAAATAAATAAATAAATAAACTGAACTTAATCTCCAACGCGACACACGCAAACGGCTTTATCAGCACGCGAGAAACTGTTTCTAGTTTAAACATCGGTGAAACGACATTTTAATCATACTGACAGAAAATAAAGTAGAAACGCTCTGAATGTGTCAATCTATTGAAGATTAAATGTCCAAGTAATATAGCTGGATTAAGAGCACATTTCTTCGTTACTTCAACCGCGAATACAATCTTCTTTGTGTCATGTCCATTGAGGACGTGGGTGATCATGGCTCTCCCTAACTTGTAAGGTTAGAAAAGACGATTATCTCCCTTTTCTGGAGATAAGTCACATGGGTCACGTGAGGGCTGCTTAGCGACGACAAGGAGTGATCAGTCAGTCGGTGTGGTCAGTCAGTCGGTTTACATTAGCCAAAACGAGAGGTTGCTTTCTTTAGCTTGATCCCCCCCTTACCTGGGCCAGGAAAAGAACAAATCTGCCTCCATAGTAGCTTACAGGTCCACGGTACCGTTTCTCTGTGTCTGAATATACTTTTTCCAAGATATAGAAACTCCGGCTCTCAGTCCTCGATTTGGGAAAACCCAAGACTTGCTGTTTCCCCTTCGTGGAGTATGTCCTCGCCTGGGACATAACAGATGAACCTGTCCTGTTTGAATCTGTAGTCCTAAACATGACTCCTCTAGAAACACAAGAATCTCCATATTAGATGTAAGACCCTTCGTTTTTGTCTCTACTTACACTCTGCTTACTGTATAGATATGATATATATTTTTCTCTGCGTGGGACACGTGTATATATGTATATATAATTTTGCGTATGACTTGGTAGTATCAGAGTCACTCTGAGAGAAAAAAAAAACCGTTTGTCATCCATTTTCCTTTCAGCCATTCCATTCGTGAAGTACTGTTTTATTATACTACAGATATAATAATGCCCATAATGGGGAAAATAAGCTCTCCTTCCATAGTCTCTCTCGTTATAGTATCATTCTTTTTGTCATCGCTCCCATCACTTCGTTCGGCCATCCATTCACACAATCTTGTCAGATACGTGACCCGCTGCCTCCCTCTGTCTTTTTTGTCTTCGGCATATCTTGTGATCGTCAAATTCTCTAAGCTTTCTTTCCTCATATGTCCAACAAATTTCATCTGTCTGTGGTTCTGAGTCTCATTTTGTTTCCATTTTCCCTCTTAAGCCTTATAACAACTTTAATAAAACGTCACCTTCTTTTCAAGTTCGAGTTTCGTCTTCATTTTAACCTCTGCGTCTAACCGCTGTTTTTCACTGATGCTTCTTTGTCTCCCAGAAATCATTGTTCTGTATTTGGCGTTCACACATCAGCAAAAAAAATGCGTTGACGGTTTTTAAGCAAAGCTTATTAATTGTTTATTGATAGATCTTAACTGAAACCGCGGATAAAGCGGGGTAACTGTACTCGATAAATGAAGTCGTGTTTTATGGAATGATACAATTCTATTTGCTGGGAATATCAGGTGCTGTTAACTTGGATGTGCGGGTGGCGTAATGGATAATGGTTTGGAATTGTTAATCGGAGAGCTGAGTTCCAATTCCAGTTGGGTTCATTATATTCACTTCCGCGTAAATCCTCTTAGGAAAGGTATGAACCCACCTTTCTCCCACCAACAATGCGTTAATTATTAAATCATTATTATCTAAAACATTCTTTCAATGTAAAAAAAAAATATTGCAATGCCCATAGTTTGACGCTCACAAGATATTGCAATATTGTGTAACTCTAAATAAACTGCAATATTGTGTAACTCTAAATAAACTTAGCAATGTTGATAAGCTGTAAAAAATTAATCAGTCGATCATTATATTTGTTGGAAATCCTGATTGTAACAATTTACGAGAAAACGTATTTGGCATTTCGCAAACCTGTAATCGAAATTGATTAGATCCCCTCTCAATAATGTTTTCACTGCTACTGCCTGGCAAATCATTATAGTCGGCAGGGGCCTGCTTTTATTTAAATGTTCTCTCATCAACAAACTTCTGTAACTTATTACAACGTGCGCGCGATAAAGTAAGCCAACTCCTCCCAACATTTCTCAATAATCGAAAAAGTAGTTTCTTTAAAAGCATTAATCTTACCGTCCAAGGGCCGGTTTCCACTAACGTTTCTGGTTTGCAGCTTATCAATCTCGACCGAACGAGAGATTAGAGTAATTTATCGTTCGAATGTTTACGCTGACTCGCTCGAAGGACTAACGTAGGTCTCCTGATGTTGCGCAAATTGGTATTCTCTAAACAAAAGCCTGATTGTTAAATCCTTTCACTGGACCAAGTAAAAGGCAGGCAAAGATGCATTTGAATGGTGCCAGGATTTAGACAGAAAACGTACACAAAACACACTCTGGTAGATTCTGTTTAGTATTTCATCGCTACGTATTTATTCAGGCTTATAAAGCTTCTTCGAAAAGCAAAACTTTGGAGTTAAATTAATCTAATATTGGGGGATTTACCTGGCAGTCTTGTGTACTGTATTTGGTGATATCGGAATGTATCGTCGAAGTCCAGCAGTCGTCGCTGTCCGTTTGCTTGGTTTGGCTTTTATCGCTATTTCTCGCAACCAAGAACGGTTTCGGTTTCACAGTTCAGTTAATGTATCACCCTTAATTACACGGTGTTCAATGTCGATTTAGCCGAGAGCACGAACGAAAGAGTGGGACGGACACAGTCGAACAATGTTCGTTGACAATCGATATACCGTTTTGATGGTTTTCTCGCTAACTGGGGATTCCGATTAAGATATTGAAAAAAAAAATATTTGTTTAAGAAATAAACAGCCTTTTCTCCGGTCGATCCTTATATATCATCACTTCTTTTACGTGTCTCCCCACTATTCGCTCTTCTTTCTTTTCTCGCTCTCCTTTCTTTTCTCGCTCTCCTTTCTTTTCTCGCTCTCCTTTCTTTTCTCGCTCTCCTTTCTTTTCTCGCTCTCCTTTTTCCCCCACTTTTCTCTGGTTTCTTTTTCCCCCCACCTCTCTCTGGTTTTTTTCCTTTTAACCTCTCTCTGGTTTCTTTTTCCCCCCACCTCTCTCTGGTTTCTTTTCCCCCACCTCTCTCTGGTTTCTTTTTTCCCCCCACCTCTCTCTGGTTTCTTTTTCCCCCCACCTCTCTCTGGTTTCTTTCACCCCCCCACCTCTCTCTGGTTTCTTTCACCCCCCCACCCTCTCTGGTTTCTTTCACCCCCCCAACCTCTCTCTGGTTTCTTTCACCCCCAACCTCTCTCTGGTTTCTTTCTTTCAACCTCTCAAAAACCTCCCCAACCTCTCTCTGGTTTCTTTTGTCCCCCCCAACCTCTCTCTGGTTTCTTTCCCCCCCCCAACCTCTCTCTGGTTCTTTTTTCCCCCCCCCCAACCTCTCTCTGGTTTCTTTTGTCCCCCCAACCTCTCTCTGGTTTCTTTTTCCCCCCCCAACCTCTCTCTCCACACACACACCCCCCCACCTCTCTCTGGTTTTTTTTGTCCCCCCAACCTCTCTCTTCTTTTGCCCCCCCCCCCACCTTTTTTTGTCCCCCCACCTCTCTCTGGTTATTTTGTCCCCCCCCAACCTCTCTCTCTGTTTCTTTTGTCCCCCCCAACCTCTCTCTGGTTTTCCCCCCACCTTTGGTTTGTCCCCCACCTCTCTCTGGTTTCTTTGTCCCCCCCCTCTCTCTGGTTTCTTTTGTCCCCCCCCCCCTCTCTCTGGTTTCTTTTTGTCCCCCCCACCTCTCTCTGGTTTCTTAAATCATTAAGTTAATACTTTAAAACAGTTTGGGAATGTAGTTTTGTAAAGCATACTCCAGAGTTCACTGTAAGTGAAAGTGCCACCCATTCAGAGGCAAACTAAGGGTAAAATTACAAAAATTAATGGAGCTTAAAGGAACGCCCGTCATTCCGGATGACGGCTAGTGATGAAAAATCGGAGACTTGAGTTCGAATTTCAGTCGAGTTCGTCCCACTCACTTATGCGCAAATATCCTTAGGTGAGGCATGAATCCATTTCTTTTCTCCTTCCCAGCAATGGGCTGAATAGCAAGACAGATTGGATCCTATAGCCTTGGGTGGCAACCAGTCTACCGCATAAAGAAACGGCAACTTACTGCGGGAAAATCTTCTGCCTAGTCAGTCATGAATTGAAAGAGACATGACAACCCAAGTGTGTATCACGTACGGCACTTAAGTGACTGAAAGGAACGCCCAAATTTTAAAAAAACACAATCTTTAGTGACTTCATTTGTAAGCAAATATCTGTTACATTTCCGAACAAATATAAAATTATGGAACAACTTAAAAAAAAAAAGACGCACTAATGACAGCAATAATCATACCAGGCAAAAAGGGGGCTATTTACATTAACCGGACCACTCCTGAAAAAGTGGGGAATAATTTAGTTGGGCGGATACTTTTTTCTATGTTAGCATTCATTAGACCTTGTTCAATCCACGAATTGTCAGAACCGGAAAACACTTTTCATTTTTATTTTTTCATTTTATTTTTCTTTCTTTCGTATTAAACTCTATCCTGGGTATGACGTTAAACTACATCTGGCTGCAGAGCCTCTAATGGTGTAAGGAGCATCGAACGACCTCCTTAAATGCTGCTGTTCTTAGGTCCACCCATATCCGACGCGAGAACACCTATTTGGGTCCCAGCTATGGGCAAATAATGAACCCCGCAACCTAAGATCAAAACACTATGAAAGTATAAAACTATATTTTTATAGTAAGAATACCAGCAATAGAGTTTAATAGTAAAAAATGCAGAGGGAGAGGCCATTATTAAATGCAACCTAAATGACACAACTATCCAACAAGCAGAATTGACGAAGTTTGCAATATGGAGTAAAAGAAGAGAATAAGCTCAAAGAGGCAAAGCAACAGTAAAATGAATGTTTACAAACTAAAAATTAGAGTTCACACAAATAGCAAGTTCGGACAAGAAAAATAAAATTACCAAAGCTCGCAAGAAATTTAAGTTTCGACATTAAATAACAGATAGGAGTTGACATGTTGTTAAACAAACCAACCAACCAAACAATCGTATTAAACTGTATTAGTTGTTTTTTCTCCATTTTAATTATTTTTCTTTGTCCGTTCTGCTTGCTATAATTAAATTTTGTACCTATTACATGTTCAACTATAAATTAAGAATGTTTAATGAAAGTTATCCGCGTTTTTTTTTTCTCATGTCAGGATTGAAAACATATTGACGTCATTATCTGCGTGTAATTATCTGTTGGTAAAAAGTTCATCATCAGTAGAACGCATTTATCAATGACGTGACAGTTCCAAACTTGACATCTGTAGAATCCAGTTTCCTTTGCTATAGTGGCTGTGGAAATGCAAACTATTAAACCATCCGAAAATATTCTTAGAAACAAACCCAGGAAGGCAGCACATGTTAGGGACAAAGCCATGGGCAAATAATGAACCCCTAAACACTATGATAGTATAAAAATACATTTTATAGTGAAAATACCAGTAATGCATTTTTATATTAAAAAAAAAAAAAATTACCAACAATATATATTTATAGTAGAATGACGATATATATATATATATATATATATAAGTAGGCACGGTGGGTTAATGGATATCGGCTTGGATTGTGGAATCGCAGGCTAAATCCATTACATTCACTTACGTGCTAATACCCTTGGGAAAGGTGTGAATCCTATTCTTCTCTCTCCAGCTATGGGTTAAATAGCAGGACAGACTGGGTTCTATAGCCATGGATGGCAACTGGTCTCTAGGAGAACAACTCTGAATTCAAAACGTGAGGGGGGTGTTTGGGGACCTTGTGGCACGTAGTGCACCAGGTCTCTGTATTCGGCCCTTCAAAAAGTGTGGATGGTCCTGCACGAAACCTTCACCACTATAATCGAATCTCATGTGCCGGTGTCGGGCTGTCAGTTTCCTGGAAACTGATCTGCTTGACCCTCATAGGTCGAACCCGACGGGAGAATCGATTTATATATATATATATATATATATATATATATATATATATATATAAAATAAAAAGATGGAAAAAAAGTAAGATAAATAATCCGGTCTTATTAATTATTTTTATTTTTACAATAGTGCTCAATGCAATTCTACAGAGCATAAATATTATAAATTTACCCATTTAAAGATTTGGTTCCATCGCTACATAGGAATTACCATGTTTCAATAACATTTGAAGTTTTAGTTTCTGTTTTTGAAACATGGTAATTCTTGTGTAGCGATGGAACCATATTTTTAAATTAGTAAATTTATATATATAATAAAATTTTCATATAGCCGTATAATGTCAATAATAGCGGAAGAGTAAGTTACATTCTACAGTTTCTACTTTGTAAACGCCTGGGAAACCAGAATAAAATGCAGTTTTCAGAGACTGTAAGAAATAATTAAAAATAATAAATTCGAATTTTTAATATTGATAGTAAATACGTTTAATAAGTACGTGCACATAAGAATGTTTCTTAGTGTTTATCGAATGCAGTAGTTTAAGCCCTGACAAAAAGGATACTATCTTTTAAGAATAACTGCAAAAAGCTACACACATGATAAACAATGTAACTATATAGTTTAAGTTTTTATTGACAGTGTAAATCTGTCAGTATCTGCGATGCATGTCATCATTTATAATAGGTACATAATCGCCACAAATTGCAACAATAAATATAAAAGCAGATAACAGTAGTATTTGGATGATTTTTTTTTCTTCAATTTCGCAATTTCGGAGAATTCCCCTGAAAAGAAATAATATAATTATTTTTTTTTTTTTATCTCAGATATAGTGTTTTATGAGTTTCTGTTTTGATTTTTTTTCTTTATTTCTTTTTTTTTAACTTCTTACAACATTTTTTTTCTTTTTTTTTTTTTTTTTTTAAGTAACCTCAGTGTTTGAGAAGAAACTCTATTGCTTCCATTATAATCGATGTGGATTTTCTCTACGTTCAAAATTTCTTTTTTCTTCTTCATCTGAGCAAGCCTTCAAAGAGTGGTGAATGTCTCCTCATAAATTTTTTTTTTTTTCTCTCAACGCAATAACCTGGGAAATGGTTTTGGACAATTTGCACATCTTATAAGAAAAATGCTTCCAGAACTTCTAATAATCCAAATATACGATAATATACTTAGTTTCCCGGATCTTAAAAGCAGTTCCTTCGATTATCCTATTTTTTTCTGATCGTTTATATTAAGCTTATCAAACTCAGTTTAGAATTGGATAGTACGTAAGTACCAAACTCGCAAAACTAAAGAAAATAATTTCATAAAATCTATTTTCTAACCATCACGCCATGTTATGTGGCTGAAATATTTTAAAAATTTTCCTTATTTTTTTACAGTTTGATTACAAATGAATTCCTTCATGCTAATTAATTTAAAGCTAGCCGGTCTTGCAGAGATTTAAAAACAAATTGTAGTAATATTTTTTCTTTCAATGGATAATCCACTCTTCCATTCAAAGACGTCAATGTTTGGCATTATTTCTCTAATAAACCATTTTTGTTTTTAAATATCTTTTTTTTTTTTAAATCACCATGGAAAATATTTCGAAAATTCTTCTCACGGAACATTACTACTGAAAACTCTCACCAGGATCTTACCAAAAATAAAAAAAAAAGGTTTCAGTGGTGTATTGATTAGGGGAAAAACGGGGTGAGAGAAAACAGGGATGTCGGTTTATTTCTTAAGCAAATATTTTTTCAACAACTAATCGTAATCTCCAGTTAGATAAAATCGTCAAATCGGGATTTCGATGTCAAATTCCATTGTTCAACTATGTGCCTCACGTTCTCGATAAAGCTGATAGCTAAATCGACTTTCAGTACAATGTAATTAAAGATGATATCTGAACTGGACTGTGAATCCGAAATTAAATTATTAGCAAGCTAGAATCGCGGGATTATATCCTTTGGAATTAGATCGATTATCATCGGGTGCCACAGCAAACTTAGTGAATTAATTCTAATGCTATAAACTTCAATATCGCGTTAACAAAGTATTAACGTTAACTGTCAACTGAGATATATGATAGGGGCCTAATTGTTACAATGAAATGTAATGTATTCCGAGGATGCAATCTCCGGCTAGGACAGTTTAAGTCTTCTTCGTACTAATATCTTGTAAAAAAAAAAAAAAAAGATATACTTTTCTCTCTCAGCTTTAAGTAATTGCAGCTCAGTTGGAAATGTGTAAGACAGATATCGGTTTAGTTACTTTGTTCCGTAATAATTCACCTGTTGCTTGAAACCGCATCGATATCGCCTAGTTCCGAGTAGCTCGAGGCTTGTGAAGGATGTTCAGTAAACGTGTCCACGTGAACTAGATATCATATAGTTCATAGAAAATGGGGATAATTCAAGATTAGAAAAAGGTCTATTATTATTAGTAGTAGTATTAATATTATTATTAGTAGTAGTATTAATATTATTATTAGTAGTAGTAGTAATATTATTATTAGTAGTAGTATTAATATTATTAGTAGTATTATAATATTATTATTATAGTAGTATTAATATTATTAGTTAGTAATTAATAATATTAGTAGTAGTAGTATTAATATTATTAGTAGTAGTAGTATTAATATTATTAGTAGTAGTATTATTATTATTTAGTAGTAGTAGTATTAATATTATTAGTAGTAGTAGTAGTAGTAGTAGTACTACTAGTAGTAGTATTACTAGTAGTATTACTACTAGTATTACTAGTAGTAGTAGTAGTGTTATTACTATTATTAACTAGTAGTAT